CGCTCTCAAGTGTGCAACTTATGCACCAAGGCCTCTGGAAGGCATATAATCAGCGCAATGATTACTCTCCGGCCACTCGTGCAAACTGACAGGCCTGACTGATGTGGATGCAAGAGGGCCGAGCGGATGGAGCACATCAGGCCCGTGGGGTCAGAAAGCAATGTGTTGGCTGCATTTGGCCCAGCTGATCTCGAATTAAGAAGGGCACCGACTTCACACGGAGCAGCCAGGATGCTTCATGCACACAGTCAAGCACACAAAAGCCAGCAAGAGAGCAAAAAGACAATCCGATGAGCGTGAGATATTATTGCGGTGTATTTTTTTTTTCCACACTCAGAAGCTTTTGTTGTTTCATTTTGTTTTCATGACTTTTTTTGAGCGGGTTTGTTATGTATGGCGCCTGTCTAATTAGTTTTGCCGATATGCAATGGATATTGAAAAAGAAAAGTCTACACAACCCTATTCAAATGCCAGGTTTCATTGATTCAAAGAAATTCAAGCAAGACAAATCTTTTAAAAACGTTTTCTTTCATTAATGTGACCTGTGCAATGTTTTTTTTTTAAATAACGGTCTTTCAAGAGGGGGATGTAAAAGTGAACAACTGAGATCACTGGAAAACATGGCTGTGTTCAAACCTAACGAATCACATTCAAACTCAGGTCAAATGGGAGGAGCCACTCACTTATCGCCATTAAATGTGCCTCTGATCAACCCCAAATAATGTCCAACTGTTCGAGTAGGCTTTTCCTGGCATCTTTTTGTTGTTTTCTAACGGAGTTTTAAGGTTTTGTGCTAACCCTGACTGTCATTTCGAAATGTTCAGAATTCCGCTCATCTGAGGCGCCAGTTTCAGTTGAAGAAAAACATTTCAAAAGAATGATGCTACCAGAACCATGCCTGCACTGGAGGTGTTTTGTTTGTTGGGTGATTTGTTTTATTGTTGTTTTTTTTGGTTTTGTTTTTGTTTGTTTTGGGGTTTTTTTTTTTTTGCTTCTGCCAAACATACTATACACCTTATGGATTTGTAGCCAAGTAGTTCATTCACCCTTGGCTTCAATGCACTGTAACATATTTCCCCACATGGTCCGATGAAGGAACTTTTTGGCCATGATTCTGAAAGCTATGTTGGGTGCTCCCAATAAATAAATAAATAAATACATTGGTTAGTAATCACACGACTAGTCGAAAAAAAAAAAAAAAAAGAAATTATTTATCTTGAGCTAATTTTTTTTTTAAATCACAAAAAGCTGCCCTTTGAACAGTGTTGTACAGACTTTTAATATCCACTATTTGCGGCTTTTTGATAAATTAATCAATTCGCCTCCAGTATCGAGGTCCTGTGGCCTGCCCGTGGCCTGACCAAGCAGTGAACTCTTGCATTCCTAAAAAACACGGTCATCCAGCCTCTGTAATTTGTCATGTTAGGAGCTGACAGTAAAAGGTCATCCACTCCCATCGCCGGAGGCAAGAAAAAGCACCAGGATGAAAGTGCACGTTCAGACGATGGCCATCCTAGGACTGGGAAGATGCACACACACACACACACAAACACACACATCTTTATCTAATCTAGGCAACCTATCCATCTTATATTTCCCACACTATCTGACTGGAGAAGTACAAGCAAGTCCAATAAAAAAAGAGCCAGCACCTCATAATGAAGTGAATACAAGTTTTCAGTAGCGTGCGGCATGGATCGTGTCTGCATTTATAATGTGTGGGAGAATAACTCGAGTCACATTGTGTCTTCTCAAACAGATTTACGCCTCCCCATCACATCTAAATCTAACATCTGTAGCGCCGCGGCGAGACACTCGGCAAGACGTGGAATGAACTATATCCCCTGTGAGAGTATGTTGAATTGAAGAGGAGACCACGTCGCACCACTCATCATCCTCTTGTTCGCCATTCGTGACACAGTCGGCGAACAACAACGTACGTCGGCTTTATATTTCATGTTGCGGGATAGTTGCGCATTTAGTTTTCCAGCGGACAAGCTATCCATTACATTGGGCCACCTCTGACTCGGCTCCAATAGAGAGGGCAGCTCTCGCAACAGCTCATCCATCATGCGCAATATCAATTGATTACAAAACATAAACAGAGCATCTTTGATATAAGGGGCCAGCTGGGCCGACGGGGGCGCAGCACGGGAAGTGCACTTAGGGGCATCCCGCCTGAATAGTCCGGCTTCTGTCTGCTGCCCTCTCTTCCCAGACTGGTGGCATGATTTAGCCGCGTCCCAGGCTTCCTGCAATTATTTTACTTCCGAAGCACAACACAACCACAGACCATTGCACCGCGACACTGTGGGCTCGGCACTAATGACTGCTTCGGTTCATCCGCGTGTGGACATCCATTAACCCATTCTGCTCCCTGTGGTGCACCAATAAAAAACACACACACACACACACACACACACACACACACACACACACACACACACACACACACACACACACACACAAACAACCTCCCCGCCCCCAAAAAATGCATACCAGCACAAAAACATGCATGGTGTCAATAGTATGAAAAAATGGCAGGAAAAATACTGGATATATGGTGTGCGTGTGGGCGGTTAGCTTCACGTGATGACAACATGGTGACAAAAATCTTGCATATTTTCTCAGTGAGTCATGCTACCGGCCTCATTCCCAGCCGCCAGTCCCGAGGTCTCACGAGTATGAATCGTTTTGGAATAGTGGCGCTCAAAATAGCCAAAGCTAGCCAGGCTAACTGAGCTATTTTCATCCACAACCGCAGTTAATTTCCGTGATCTTTGAGCCGCCCGTTCTTCTGAAGACTGCTGTGCTGTTGGCTGGACATTTCTCTGCTCCAAAGAGGATTATCATCCAGTGACGGCAGCAGGCAAGCGAGAGGAAAAGCCTCTGTAAATTTTCAGCTTGTAAGACGAGAAAAAACATGATTAGCGATTATTTGATTTCAAGTGGTAAACATTGACGCAGGTCATAAAGTCGAGTTGTCAACTCGTCAGTTCCAAGGCCAAAAATTGCTTGAGAGGATTTTATATATTGTAAATATTGAAACATATTAATATTTACTATTGCCAGGTTCTCACATGTGGGCAAGGAGAGCCACAGTCAGCCGATGGCTGAACGGGACACACAGTCAGACACACAAAACGAAAAGACTCAGGCAGCTGCTGTGTGCCACAACTCACGGCCAGAAACTCACACGAAAAAGACTAACTCGGCAACCTGACATCACTCACTAGGCCACACCCCTTAAAGGCACACATTCAACACGCAAATACTGTACTGCATGCAGTAATTACACTTCACATATGAAAACAGTTTCTTTCTTTTCTCACGTATTTATAAGATACAATGCTCTTCTATTTATTTATTAAAAACAAAAATATATAATGTTTTGAGCAGGCTGGAAACCTGGAATTCAACTGATGGCATTTTAATGAATTTCAATGTGGGGGAAACAAATTAATATTGTTTAATGTTTGTACCAATTTTGCGGTTTTCAAATTTTACGATTAGCTCCCCGAGTCCGCAACAATCTTTCACTTCCGAACCACGTCTAATGTCTTAATTATTCAACGGATAAAAAGCTTGAACATCATACGGAGCAACTCCAGTCATACTGAAATATGACCAATGATGGCATTTTAATTTTGACCCAATTGCCTCCCCTATCTCTACTTACATTGCATTCCTCTGCTGCTCCACGCAGCATTAGGGAGGAGTCATTAGGGAGAAGCAAGCGGGCAGGCGGTGCACACTAGGGCAAATGGAAGTCGTGAGGCAGAGCCGCTCATGCAACAGACGTGACACGCTGACCCTCCCCATCCCTCGGCGACTGCAAACGGCTGACGGTGGAGCAATGACAGGGTAAACCACGGGCTTTTCAAACTCCATTTCGCTCCGCATTAATTATTCCTCTAAGTATTCTATGCCCCCCGATGATATCGAAATTCATAAATGTATAAGGTTAAGGGAGGCGAGCTTTCCAGGCTACACTCAGCAAATGTGATGATACAAATCCCATTTTATGGTAACTACCTAATTAGGACTAGCGAGCTGTGCACTGGAAGACTCATAAATCTGTGTTATATCAGACAAATAACCCCCGACTCCTCCTGGTTCAAGACCAGAGCAAGTTCGGAGCTTTATGATGACTCCAACTTTCATTATCTTTCATTTTACATTCGACGGCTACGCGTCACTAATAACACACCTCCACGTCCGTCAACGTACATCTTGAAATGAAGCATCAAAACGATTCCTTTGTGCCACTAAATTGAATCGGTAATTGTGTTTTGCTTTTGTTCTATTAATTGGTATGCGCCCCGTCGTCCCCTTGAGCTTTTAATTTGGATGTACATTTACACAATGACAATAAATTAATCCACCCCAATCCAATCAAGGCATTAGTCCTTCGGAATGTTTAATGTAGCATAAATGATAACCGCCAACGCGGGCTGTCAAACATATATGAATATAACTTGCGTGGTGCTCAGTGTCAGGGTGACCCCGAGTTGCTCCTGAGTGTCCTCGTCTTAGCTCAGGAGGGTTCAGATTTGCTGCCAGAGGGCCTGTCATTGTCCATTTGAACCCCTGACCTAAGGTCTAAACTAAAGGGTCAGAGTTGCAGACGATATTCCAGCTAAGGAGCACACTGCAATGGGGCAAACGTGCCACTCACAGGTAGCTTAACTGACAGTCTGAATAAAAAAATACTCTTCATTCTGGGCATACTCTGTGGGCATTGAGATGTAAATACAGTACTTTGAAAATAAAAAAAAATAAAAAACAACAGTGATCCATCCATCCTATTTTCTACTAAATCTAACGAAAGACATCTTAATGCGAACATGTAATATGAATCCCAATCGACCGGCTCATGGAAATTAGCATAGACCTTTGAATAATTGCTACTTTAACACACCTACGGTAGCAACACATGCAAACCGAGCCTACAACAATAGTCGCAGGCATGCCGTAATTACTGGAGCTTAGTTGGGTACCTTTTTTGCCTCTTCTTCTTGCTCTTGATTAGACCTCAGTGCTCCCTGGCATGTTGTGCCACAAGCTGAAACAATTACAAAAAAATAAAAAATAATTAAACTCTGCGGTATAGTGGATGTACAAACAATGAAGTGCAAGTTGTTTGACACATTCCATTTCTTAGTGAAACCGATTGAAATGCTCAGGAAATACGGTGCTGTCATGGAGTCATTATACTGAATCTTATTTTGCTTTGAGCACATTGGAAAGGAGAGCATGTGCACAACAGAGAGATTGAGTTCCTTTCCTTGCATGTGCAGCCTGCAGGGGAACCAATGTGCACTAATGGTGAACGGCTTGTGACATTCACTAGCGATAGAGGACATCGCTTCACTGGAGACCTTGCAGCAGGCAGAATGTGGCCAGATGGAACTCGACTAAATTGTCAACATTTCCCCGAAGACCATCCGGCAGAGCCGGTTCAACATTGTTGGCAGATTTTTTTTTCCTCCCTCAAAACATGTGCACACACATGGTAGGTCACAAAACGTTGTGTAAAATAAGTGCGCTGGAGCCTCCTGAGTGGCTCGTGTGGGAAGACAAACGTGAGACCGGCTGTAATAAAGCCGTATGCCCGCTGTTAAGAAATGAAATGTAAAGCCATCACTGTGATCCATCTTCATTAAACAATTTCCCCTCTCCCTTGCTTGTGAGGGTCTCTTTTTTTCGAGGGGTCAGGTACTACGCCTCCTTCTCACGGGTGCCGGCGCGTGTTTAAATATACTGGAGAGCGACCGAGCTATGGACGGCCTGGCTGCTGGTCGCGTGTCGACCGGCTGCCACTCAACTCTTGGAGGGTTTCCCATCACCCCCCTCCAAGTGATACATTGCGATGTGACAAATGCAAACGGAGGCATTTAGGAAAAGCAGTGGGTGAAGGACTGCAGTCGTGTTGTTAATGTGGTCGCTCTGTGCCAAAGCAAATTGGAAGCGTTACAAGCCTGATGTCAGTCACATTGCGAACTCAGTGTGGCGCTTGTTGCATCACTTTTCCCCCCTCTGTCAAATAACTTCGGGCATTTTTCTCACAAATTACCAACTCAGAATTACATTTGCTGAAATTGGATATTATTAAGTGCCGAACGGCTGTATCGTTTTCCCTTTGCGCTCAGATTTGATTGAAAGGTATTATTTTAACAATATTTTTGTGGTTTTATCACAACCCTGTATCAGACTGAGCTGATAGATAGATAGATAGATAGATAGATAGATAGATAGATAGATAGATAGATAGATAGATAGAGAGATAGATTGATAGATAGATAGAGGCTGACAAACGATTGGAAAAGTATACTTTACACCTACGCACTTACTCTGGTCTTTCGCCACTCTACCGTACATTTCACATTCGTTTAGCGATTAGCATTAGCTTCTCCATTTTCGCATACGCTCTTCTGCTGCTTGGCGTGTTTGTACGCTTAGCTTCTCGTCCGCCTTGAGTGACAGCGCTTCTTGTTAGACTTGTTTGCCTCCATGGAAAGGATTAGTTACTTCGAAGAGAGGATCTACATCGTGCAGGCCGAAGCTTCTGCCCATAATGGTTCGGCGCAAGTTAGCTTAGATACTAGCGCTCGCAAGCAGCAGCGAAGCCGGAACAGGATCGTGAAATCGAGGTGTCTAATATCACACCTTCAACCCCAAAACGACAAATCATTCAGCCCAAGTTTGCACCAACCATCCGTTCTGATATCACGGCCAAAAACTTCAACCTTGGTTTTATTGAACTAAATCTCCCCAAGACGTGGAAAATTGAAAATGGAAAAATTACTTCTCAAAGGCAAATCTGATTTTTCTCTGACAACATAATTAGATGATTTATGTTTTTCTTCTTTTTGTTAGATGTTTTTCTCACAGTGACAGCCTCTGTCTCTGCGCCAATTCTGAGGGAAATTACACCAAAACCTATCAGACGAATTGCCTTCCTGTCAAAGTTGTGATTTGTCTAAATACAAAACTCTGTAATCAATCTTCAGCTCCTTTGTTAGGTGCATTGCAGTAGCTACACAAATTCCCTGAACACTTGGAAGGCAAATCTGTTGTTATGTCAGCAAGCCGCTCCACGCAATAAGTGTCTTTCACAGTCAGAATAAACACAGCAGGTAAATCCTGGATATTTGTTGTAATTTATGTAGAGATTTGTCAGAATACAAGAAGCTAAATATGACATCCCTGTGGAGTATGCCAAGGAATTCAAATGCTGTGCTGATCCAAACAATATCACCAATCTGCTTCTCCTATTCTTGTGCCATTTAACGCAGTTTCTCCTCAAGCATTTCTAGGCAGAGGTGAAAAGTGAGGGTGTGCTGTAGCATGTGTGTGTGTTTTATGCAAATTGCGAGGCGAGGTGATTAATTCATAATGCATTTCAGTGCAATTGAAGGCAGCGGGAAGTGATCAAGGGCAAGGACATTATGGAATGGTACAGGCGGCATAGGGCTGCCTCTGCTTGCTCTACACTGTACCACAGCACGACAACAGCTCATTACACGGAGACAAAACACCTCCCCCACTGATAATGAACAGCTTTCATGAGTGCTTTTTTTTTTGTTGGGTTCTTTTTTGTTTTGCTTCTCGCTGTATTTTGTTCCGTCCTGGGCTGCACATCATTCTTCATCCAACCGAATCAAGTATTGATCCAGCACTACGTCTCATATCCATGCTCTATAATTGTACCGCGCATGCAATGTGTCAGATCATTTTGTTTCCTGAAGATGCAACATATGCGCCGCAATGCATCACTGGTCGCAATTTAATAACAGACTACAAATGAGATGGACTAAAATGAGTTTGGAAGAGCTTCGAGGAATAAGCCAAATAGTCATGAGCTTAGCTAACATTTACTGTCTCTCTTATTCACTCACATGCAGGCAGACCCTCTTAGTAGAAGTACACTGAGTGCGGGCTGTAATTTAGTCATCCGGGGAAATAAACCTGAACAAGTTTTCAGCTTGCGCAGTCTGACAAACACATATGGTGTGCGAATGAGTTAAATTAAATTTGTGACCACAGTCGGAGCACCTTTCTCCATTGAAATGAATGTAAATGGCATTAATCCGTTCCAGCGGACCAACAAAAACAACAGTCTATTGTATTGTACATGATGAAAACATTCACCAGGTTCCGAATTGTTTTGCAAATTATGTTTTTTTTTTCTGTCAAGTTTATAAATAGTCTGTGCTATTGAGATATTTTGACACAAAGACGTTATCAAAAGTAACATATTGCGCATGCTCTGTCATGTCCAAATGTTCCAGTGGAGGTGCCCCGGCCTTACGTAAGCTTTTCAGTGTGACGGCTCAGCAGCGAAACGCAAAGCTGCAGTGGCAGTGCTCGTAGCTTGAGGTGACAGAGTGTTGATGATCGTCGCAAGGACGATGCCCCGCATGTGTCAAACAATTGGCAAAGAATTGATGTCATCTTTTCCACTGTTATTTCCGCGGAGGGGGCACTAACTGTGTTGCCGATATCAAAGCTCCTGCAGGGGAGAAGGCGAAGCCAGGGATGTGCAACAATAAGACGGATGGAGGAAGCCAAGAAGAGAGAGCGGGCCATGGGGGAGGGGGTGGTGGAGTGCCAGGCCCATCTTTTTTTTTCCTCTCTTTTTCTCCCTCCTCCGCTGAAGACACGCGGCCATCCGCGAGGAGACAAAACACGCGTGGCCGTCATTTGTCCGACACCTTACGTGATGCGAAGGCCTTTCTCTCGCCGCGCCAAGCCCGTGTGGCGGATGATGTATGTGTTTCTTCAGTCCCGTGATTACTAGCATGGAGCTGCAGAGCGATGCTCTTCACATCATCAGTTCCACAGGCTGCGATGCGAGGTGGCTGAGGGATTCGCCGCGAGATGCCTTCTGACACGCAGCACAACCGGGGCGTGGAGCGGCGTGAATATTATACAGTGCATTTCACCACAGCCACCCACGGTGAACAGATCAATCGAGGTGGATGAGGTGAATTACAATTTTAATAGGGTGCCTAGGAGCAGTAATTAAAAAGAATGATTATATTTTTCCCTAAATGTATGAAAAAGTGAACGGTCCATTGGGGCGGTGCAAAGCTGCTATGGTCTAATGTATAATGTCCGGTGCCTATTTGCCTTACGTGTCCTTTGTGGAAACTTTCCATACTCAACTCTGGTGGCAGCGCAATTGCTATTGTGATTATTATGGTTTGTAGAATCCTCATCACTTTCATCAGCCTGTTGGCGATGTTCATGCATCCCTGTAATGGGGCCGATTGATTTTGAAACACTGTAAACATCTGGACTGTACTACTTAAGCACGTATCTAAACAAAATATAAATAAAATATACACAGATCTAAAAAAATAAAGCCTTCTAGCCAACCGATATGAAGGAGAAGTTTGTTTTTGTTTTTTCTAAATTGCCATTTTCTTTTCCATTACAAAAATTGGATGACATTGTCATGCTGATTTGAATTTGATTACTTGTTCAGCCTTAATCTATAAAAATAAAGATAAAGGTACAGTCGTATCAAACTGCAATAAAGTGTAATACCGATATAGACACACACACGAAGAAAAGTTTCTCAACTGGCTCAGTAACATGATGCAATTCGAGTCGTTTTTTGCAGAGCATAAAAAAATATATGCCTGTGAGTATTGTTATATTGTCCGTCTATGTTTTGCTACACCCTTTGTGTTCAAACATCAGTTTGTGAGGGATGTTATTGTTTCGCCCATTTGCATTGTTTGTGAGCACTGAGCTCAACGGACTTAGCTAAACCAAAGCTTTGTAGTTGATGTAAATAAACGGTGCGTCATTCTCTTTGTTTCTTGTTTAATTTGATATCAATTTCAACTTCAAGTTGCAATAAACCGATTAAAGCCTCTTTAAGAAAGACTTGACAACGAGCTACTTGACTTGAAGTGTGTAAGTGCGAAGATGTAGAAAGCATTGTTGGGCCACCGCACAAAGCAGTTGACCTGTAAGTAACACTGACACCTCATCGTCCCGCACCCATTAATCACTTCCTCGATGTATGTCGAACATCCATATTATGTTTCA